GGCGGGCTCGGGCCGCCTCGGGAGCTCTGGACCCCCCCCGCAACCCCTGGTGGGCACCGATGGGGGAAACAGGCAGCGGCCCGCCCCCCCCCCCGGGCCTACTCCGAGATAGAGAATCATGTTCCCGGGAAGCTTTCCAGGATCATGATTTGCTCGGCTCTCTAAGAGGGGGGCCTCTGGGGGCTTACCGAGGGGCGCCTTTTGGCCTTGTCGGCAAGCCTATTGGAAACATGGTTGGGGCGGCTGGCGGAAGCCCAAGCAATCGTGTTCCCGGAAAGCTGTCTGGGAAATGCGATTTACCAAAATGTCTTGGGGGCCCGCAGCCCTGACTCCGGATCCGCCCTACTTTGGGGAAATTCGTAAGTGGGGCTTGGAATTTCCGCCTTACTTTTCAAGCCCCGCTGATGCCAATTTCCGCCCTACTTTTCTGTTGCTGTTTCTGTGGATTTCCGCCCTATTTTATGTTGGCTGCAGCAATTTCCGCCCTACTTTTTCGGCCTCTTTTATAGGTGGATTTCCGACGCAATTTTAAGTTGGAAAAAAAGCCAAAGTAGGGCGGATCCGGAGTCAGGGAGGGGGCTTCTCTGGGTGCCCCTTGGGGCCCTATTGGGGCTTCCGGGGGGCCTCTTGGGAGCCTCACGGGGCTTCTTGGGAGCCTCTTGCTGGGAGGCTCTCCGGCCGGAGACCTCGAAACGTCGAGCTCTTCGGGCCCTCTTGGGCCGCTCTTGGGGCTCTCCTGGGGCGCTCTCGAGGCCCTCTTGGTGGCCTCTGGGGGCCTACAGGCGGCCTCTAGGGCCAGAGACCTCGAAATATCGGTTGGCGGTCCCCCTCTGGGCCCTCTCTTGGGGAGCTCTTGGGGCACACTTGGGTTGTCTGGGGAGCCTCCTGGGCCGTCTTGGGGCTTTCTTGCGGGCCTCTTCGGTCGTCTTGGAGCGATCTGAAGGGCCTCTGACGCGGCCGGGGACCGTGGGGAGGCGGAGCATGGGAGAGCGCAAGAATGCTTCAAAAACCATAGGAAAATGCATGATTTTCGGCTTCTGGGGCCCTTTGGAGGCGCTCTTGGGGCGTTTTGGCGGCGTCGTCGGCCGCCCTGAGGCCATCTTCGGCGTGTCCGGGGCCTCTGGGGGCTGTCTTTGGGCGTCCTGGGAACCCGGGAATCATGTTCCCGGAAAGGCGTCCGGGAACATGATTTCGAACGAGGCCCTTGGGCCTCCTGGAGGCCGTCTTGGGGGCCTCTTGGGCCGGCTTTGGGGCCTCTTGGGCCGTCTTGGGAGTTTCCGTGAGCCCCGCAAAACGACTCTTTGGGGCCGTCTGGGGCCTTCTGAGGTCTCTCTTGGGCTGTCTTGGGGTTCCTCAAACGCGTCTGGGGCACTGCGAAGACGAAGCAAGGGAGTATGCTGAAAATGTACGTTTTACTACCGGAACGGGCTGATTTGTGCCTCTTGAAGGCCCTCTCCGGGCCCTCTTCAGCCATCTTCAAGCCATCTCGGGCCCTCGTGGGCCTCTCTGAGGCTGTCTTGTGGGCCTCTTGAGCGTCTTCGGAACCCAGAAATCATGTTCCCGGAGAGGCTTCTGGGAACATGATTTCGAAAGACCGTCTTGGGGGCCTCCTGGGCCGGCTTTGGGGCATCTTCTCTTGGGCCGTCTCGGGGGGCTCCGTGAGCCCCACAGGACGATCCTTTCGGGCCGTCTTGGACCCTCTTGGGTCTCTCTTGGGCTGTGTTGGGGCTCCGCGGGGGCGTCTTCGGCACTGTGAAGACGAAGCCAGCGAGCATGCCGAAAATGTACGTTTTACTACGGGAATGGGCCGATTTGTGCCTCTTGATCGCCCTCTCGGGGCCCTCTTCGGCCATCTTCAAACCATCTCGGGCCCTCTGGGGCCTCGCTGAGGCTGTCTTCTGGCCCTCTTGGGCGTCCGGGGAGCCCGGAAGTCATGTTTCCGGAGAGGCTTCGGGGAACATGATGTCGAGCGAGGCCCTCGTGGGCCTCCCTGCGGCCGTTTTGGGGGCCTCCTGGGCCAGCTTTGGGGCCTCTTGGGCCGTCTTGGGGGGTTCTGTGAACCCCACAGGACGACCCTTTCGGGCCGTCTTGGACCCTCTTGGGTCTCTCTTGGGCTGTGTTGGAGCTCCTCGGGGGCGTCTGGGGCACTGTGAAGACGAAGCAAGCGAGCATGCCGAACATGTACGTTTTACTACTGGAATGGGCCGATGTTTGCCTCTTGAAGGCCCTCTCGGGGCCCTCCTCGGCCATCTTCAAGCCATCTCGGGCCCTCGTGAGCCTCTCTGAGGCTGTCTTGTGGGCCTCTTGAGCGTCCTCGGAACCCAGAAATCATGTTCCTGGAGAGGCTTCTGGGAACATGATTTCGAACGAGGCCCTTTTGGGCCTCCCTGAGGCCGTCTTGGGGGCCTCCTGGGCCGGCTTTGGGGCCTCTTCTCTTGGGCCGTCTCGGGGGGCTCCGTGAGCCCCACAGGCAAACCCTTTTGGGTCGTCTGGGGCCTTCTTGGGTCTCTCTTGGGCTGTGTTGGGGCTCCGCGGGGGCGTCTGGGGCACTGCGAAGACGAAGCCAGCGAGCATGCCGAAAATGTACGTTTTACTACGGGAATGGGCCGATGTTTGCCTCTTGAAGGCCCTCTCGGGGCCCTCGTCAGCCATCTTCAAGCCATCTCGGGCCCTCTTGGGGCGCTCTTGGGCGTCTTCGGGGCCTCTTGAAGTTTTTTTGACCATCTGTACGGCCCGCGTGGCCTGTCGTGGGCAATTTGGAAGCGGCCCAGGGCAGTCCCGGGGGGTCTGTGACCCCCCAAGGGTTCGGGGGGGCGGCCATGGGTCGAACACATCTACAACTACACGCAGCAAAACTACACCTTGTTGCGGGGACCAGGGGTGGCAATCATAATTAGATTTGGCGCGTCGGTGGGTCTGGGTGGACGGACACCGCCTCGCGACCTACGATGGAAGGCGATGGTCGTGCCGACGACGTTGTGCGCCAAGCGTGGAAGCGATCACCATGTTTCACGGCGAAGCTTGGCGGCAGCCGCAAGAGAAATCATAACACGAACAAGCGCTTCACCCTCGCGAAGGGAATCTGGCACGAAGAAGAACTCGAAAGCGCGGGGGTCGGATCGCGAATTTGCTGCTGGGGCACAGGCGGGGGAGGGAAGCGGGCTGCGCGAGGTCGAGGCCCCAAAGCACACGGCTGGTTTCGCTGAGCAGGGGGGTTCGGGATGTCGGCGGGGGGCGGCCCAGGGGTCGGGGCCTCGGCGATGGGCAGCGCGGGCAAGCGATGCTTCGCGAAAAAGGGACACGCACATAACGGCACTTAGCGGCCGGGACGCGGTACACGTTGGGAGCGCGAGCGGCGGCGCCCGACATGCACCCCGTCCCGCTGGCTAGGTGTAGTTATATAAGTGCTCCGTTTTGTGAGGATGTCTCCGGCGAAACCAGCACGTGCAGAACTACACCTAATGCATGGCTAAGTGTAGTTCTGAACGTGCTGGATGTCTCGCGCGGGGCGAGCACGTACAGACCGGCACCTAGCGAAAGGGACGGGGTACAGGTCGGGTGCGTCGTCGCGCCCCGCCCGCAGAGACAGGAAGGCAACGCCCGCCGAACCCCCTGCCGGCCTCCGGACGGAGGTGTCTGAACGTCCCAGGGCTATCCGAAGGAATTCCAATGGCGGCCTCCGCCCACATCGTTCCCCCTATCAGAGCATTTCGCCTGGTCACCATGTTCCCCATTCCCGCCCGCTGTTTTGCCCTCCCTCTCCCCCGTTCTTCCTCTACCTGCCGCCGACCATTTCCCTGAGCGTGTCCCAATTGTCCCTGGCCCCTGCGCGACGGCAAACGCCCGCGCCCCCCGCAGCTGAAAGACTCACCTTGCGTTCATCCTCCAACCCACCCGTGAGGCGCAAGTCTTGATTCCACACTGACACTGACAAGCGACGTCGAGGCACCGGCAGATCCGACAGGCGCGATCGGCCCCCTCGAATGGCGGGCGAACCAATACGTAAGACGATGTCGCAAAAGTAAATTTGGAATTTGGGGATCCGCGCAAGAAGCTAATCCACTCGCCCAAAATGTAGTTCTGTGCCTGTCCGAATGGGAGATGACGGCACCGATTTCCCCCCCCCCCCTGGCCTACTCTTATATATATATATGTATATCTATATATACACATATATATAACTATATATATAGGTCGATAGATAGATGGGCAAATGTGCGCGACGAGGACAGTTAAAGAAATCAACGAGGAACTCAAGGACATCGCAAATCGAACGCCTTCCCTTTCCCCGCCCCAACCTCCTTATCAACCGTAGGGTGGTCCCATCGGTATTTTTTACCACATGTTTTGATACTCCTCCTGTAGAGGGATATGCCCGACTGAGCCCTGGGCGAGAGTTGCCTGTGGTGCGCGGCGCTTGCCGCTCGCTGCACGCGAGGCGACACGGCAGCGGCCTGCTGTGCCCGGGCTCGGCCTCCCCGCGCGCCCCGCGGAGCCCGGGAAGCGCACTCCGGCGACGCGCACCGAGGCATAAAAAAAGAAGCGGCACAAGCGTTAGACAAGCGCGTGCCACGACTCGCAGAGTGACTGCTCGTGCGTGGCCTGGATCCGCCGCGGGGGGGGGGTTGCGATGCATCACACCGAGGCAAACAGCTGCGTCTGTTCTCGGACGGTTGCGAGTACTTAGGCACCCTGCGAGGAGCAGCACGCGCTCGGTGAAGCACGAGCTTCCGGAGGTCCACGCGGGTTTCTTGGATCGGCGGTGGGCCCCCTCCCTGGCGCGCCAGGCGCCGCCGGGGGGGGGGGGGGGCCAAGCGCCGTGCAACCGCACGGAGCCCAAGCGGTCCTGTTTATGCCGTTTGTCTTCTCTTTCGATCCTCCCCCTCCTCCTCCAAGAAATCCGCGAGGAACTCCGAAACTATCTTTAAGCCATTTCTCCTTCCTCGAGCACAGCTCCCTCCTGAGAACAGTCGCTCTCACGCGCAGACGACCGAGAGGGCCCCCCCCCGTCTCCAGTAGCAGCGACAAGGTACCGGGGCAGCCCTTCTCCGCCGCCACCGCCAGGGGCGTCCGGCCGTCCCGGTCCTCCGCGTTGATGTCGCAGCCTCGCCGACGCCACGACGACGACGAGGACGACGCCGTCGTCGTCGACGACGACGACGACGAAGTCACGACGACGACGCCGACGACGATTACAGCGACGACGACGTCACGACGACGACGACGTCACGACGACGACGACGTCACGATGACGACGCCGACGACGATTACAGCGACGACGCCGACGACGACGAAGACGACGACGACAGCGACGACGGCGACGACGTCACGACGACGACGACGACGTCGACGTCACGACGACGACTACGACGACTACGACGACGACGCCGACGCCACGAAGACGACGACGACGACGGCATCACGACAACGACGACGACGACGACGACGACGACCACGACGACGGCACAACGACGACGACAAAGACGTCACGACGACGACGACGACGACGACGACAACGACGCCGACGACGACGAACACGACGAGGACGACAACGCCGTCGTCGCCGACGACGACGAAGTCACGACGACAACGCCGACGACGACGACGACGTCACGACGACGACGACGACGGCGACGACGACGACGACGACGAAGTCACGACGACGACGACTACGCCGACTTTGACGACGACGTCACGACGACGACAAAGACGTCACGACGACGACGACGACGACGTCACGATGACGACGATGACGTCACGACGACGACGCCGACAACGACGACGACGTCAAGGCAACGACGACGACGACGTCACGACGACGACGACGACGTCACGATGACGACGACGACGTAACGACGACGACGCGACGACGACGACGACGACGACGACGGCGACGACGTCACGACAACGACGACGACGCCGACGACGCCGACGACGACGACACGACGACGACGACGATGGCTACGACGACGTCGACGACGACAAAGTCACGACGACGACGACGTCACGGCGACGACGACGACGTCGACGACGGCGGCACAAAGACGACGACGACGACGACGACGACGACGACGACGACGACGACGGGACGACGACGACGACGACGACGATGACGACGACGACGGCTAAGACAACGACGACGTCACGACGACGTTACGACGACGACGACGACGACGACGTCACGACGACGACGACGACGACGCCACGTCACGACAACGATGACGACGACGACGAATACAACGTCACGACGACGGCGACGACGTCACGACAACGACTACGACGACGTTGACGACGACGACGACGACGACCACGACGACGTCACGACGACGACGACGACGCCACGACGACGACAACGACGACAACGACTACGACGACGACGACGACGACGACGACGACGGCGTCACGACGATGTCACGACGACGCCGACGACGACGACGATACTGTCACGACGACGCCACGACGACGTCACGACGGTGTCACGACGACGCCGACGACGACGACGACAACGACGCCGACGACATTACCGGTACTGTCACGACGACGTCACGACGACGACGACGTCACGACGACGACGACGACGACGACGACGACGACGACGACGACGTTACGACGACTTTACGACATGTTACGGCGACGACGACGACGCCGGCGGCGGCGGCAGCGGCGGCGGCGGCGGGGGCGGCGACGACGACGACGACGACGACGACGACGACGACGACGACGACCACGACGCCGAATACGACGGCATCGACCACGACCACGTCCGTCACAATGGCGTCGGGGGCGACGGCGGCGTCATTGACGCAGCCTCGCTCCAGCAGCGCCCTCGCGCAGCCAGCGTCCTGGCGAGGCCCGTTCGTTCGTCGCCTCCTCCTCCCCGTGACCTCCGCGGTCACGAGAGGAGGAGGAGGAGGAGGAGGTGGAGGAGGAGGAGGAGGAGGAGGAGGAGGAGGAGGAGGAGGAGAGGGAGGAGCGAGGAGGAGGAGGAGAGGAGGAGGGTGGAGGAGGAGGAGGAGGAGAGGAGAGGAGGGAGAGGAGGAGGAGGAAGGAGAGAAGGAGGAGGGAGGAGGAGAAGGAGGAGGAGGAGGAGGAGGAGGGGGAGGAGGCGGGAGGAGGAGGAGGAGGACCTCTACGTTACTTGGCCCTCAGAGGCCCACACTATTTGGGGGGGCGTGATAAAAGCCGGTCCCTGGACGGCGTCGAGAGGTCTAGGAGCCCACGCCATTATAAGAAAAACGTGACGCCAAAGATCTTGGACCTCGGACGTCCCTCGATCCGCCTCCTCCTCCTTCTCCTCCTCCTCCTGGGAGCTCAGCATCCTACTGGCTCTTCCCTCCCAGCTCCTCATTTCTCCTCCTCCTCCTCCTTTTCCTCCTCCTCCTCCTCTTCCTCCTCCTCCTTCTCCTCGTCGACCCTCCTCTTCTTCTCCCAGGAGCAGGAGGAGGAGGAGGAGGAGGAGGAGGAGGAGGACGAGGGAGAAAGGAGAAGCGAGGGAGTGTGCGTGAGAGGGGGGGGAGGAGGAGGAGGAGGAGGAGGAGGAGGAGGAAGGGAGGTGGAGGAGGAAGGAGGAGGAGGAGGAGGAGGAGGAGGAGGAGGAGGAGGAGGAGAGGGAGGAGGAGGGAGGAGGGAGGAGGAGGAGGAGGAGGAGGAGAGGAGGAGGAGGAGGGAGGAGGAGGTGTGAGGAGAGAGGACGGATAAAAAGGAGAAGCGAGGTAGTGTGCGTGAGAGGGGGGGAGAGGAGGAGGGAGGAGGAGGAGGAGGAGGAGGAGGTAGGGGAGGAGGAGGCGGGGGAGGAGGAGGAAGAGGGGCGGAGGAGGAGGAGGAGGAGGAGGAGGAGGAGAGGACAGGCGGCGGCGACGGCGACGACGGCGACGGCGACAACCTGCGACCACGACGACAATGACTACTCGGGTCTCTGGAGGCCCCCAGAGGTCTCGTGGAGACCTCGGGAGGCTCCCCGCGGGCACTCCGTGAGCCGGAAGAAGTCGAGGACGCCCAAACTCATTGAAAGCGTTGATCCTCTATGCTCGAGAACCAGAGCACGCTCAAAACGTGCCCACCTGGATCATTCGCGGGGTCCATCCTGGCCGGTTTGCCGAGCATAGTCCGCCCGCGGGAACGACTTCAGGAGCGTCCAAAAACCTCCAAGACGACGACGGCAACGACATTGAACGACTGACCAGGAAATCCGCTCCAAACAGGTCCTCGAATCCTCCCAGGGACAATCCTGGCTGAACTGTTAGTCCAGATGGGTGTTTGACGAACCTAGGGCCCAAAACGAGCCAGCTCAATGCCAGGCACGTCCCAAAAACCTCGACCCCCGTACCTCGAACTGCGAGGCTGGAACGTATAGTATAGACATCCACCATTTGGGTAACCGATCTCCCAGGACCCCAGGGAGGCGGTGGATACGAACACGTTGGGGCCACAGCAGGGCCGAACATGTCCCTGTCCACCGCCTCCCTGGGGTCCTGGAATATCGGCTCCCAGGATGCGGCGTCTTCATGTTTTGACTGCGGGGTCCCCAGAAGCCCCGACCCTTTCCCCAGGGATGGTGTTTCATCCTGGGCAGCTTTGTGACGATCCCATGGGACCCGACGACTAGATTGCTTTTTTTATTTCAGGTAACGGTCGTTGCCTGGGGGGGGGGCCAGGTAACAGTAACGCTCGGGCGGGTGACGTGGGGGAGGGGGGTTATTCTTCGGGGTGACGATTATCACGCGTCATATGATAAGAACTTAACCGCCTCGCCGAGGCCGAAACCTCCCGTCGCGATCTTTTGTCACGACGCGAGCATGTCAGGGCTCTCGGGCCTTACCTCGGCTCTCCGGTGGCCCCTCCGGGACGATTCGAGCACCCCCAGAACTCCCTCGGCGAGGCGCCGCTACTGGAGAGCACCCCGAGCCTGGAACACCGCCGAGAACCCAGGAAACCGCCCGAAAGCACGAGAACCTCCCGTGGTGATGGCTGTCACGACGCGAGCATGCCCAAGCGGCGGTCGCAGCCATCGGCGGCGGCGATCCTGCAGCCTGGCGGCGTGGTGCAGCGGGGTCCGCTCGCGGTCGTCGCGCCGGGCGGGGTCGCACCCGGCCTCCAGCAGGTAGGCCACCTGCCGGCGTTGGGCGGAGGGCCCCGTCGGGCCCCGCACCCCCCCGCTCCTCGAGGCGGAGCGGAGGACGGAAGGAGAGGGCCCAGGGACACAGAAAGAAGTACACACACCCACACACATCCCAAGATTCCCCCTATTTTTCCATACTCGTTCGATTTTCGCCTTCCCCTCCACTTCCCGTATCTTCCATATGTTCTGGGGAATCGACGATGAATTGTGCCTGTGTGTTTTCCCCAGCTGCAGGAGGGAGGCCCACGCACGCCCGCGTCGTGAGAGACCACGGCGGGGCGCGCTTCGTGATGGTTGGCCGCGGTGGGCCCTCGCCGGGCCTCGGGGCCGTCGAAGAACGGCCCGGGAAGACGAGGCGGTCCCCGAGGAGCGGTCTGGACCTCTGGGGA